TTGAGTTTAAAATTTCTAAAAATAACACATACGTGTTGCGCTTGTACTTGACGCCTTTTTTTACCTCTTTGTTTAAAAAGGTAAGTTTTATATAAATTTTACTTGTAAAAACTTATGTTATGTATTAAGTATACAATAATCATATATATATGTTAGGTTTCTCAGTTGGCGCTACTGTTTTAATATATCACTTCTTTTATACAGTAGAATAGTGTTGTAGGATTTTATTATAGTTATAAGTTTTACTTGTAAAAACTTATGTTATGTACACATATATAACTTAAAAAAAATAATTTGAATTTCAAATTTCTAAAAATAATAATATAATATACATTATATTATATTGTCTTATATTATGTAACATTATTTTATATATACGTCACGTACATACACCATTAATATATAAATGTCACTAATTTATACTTGTTAATTATCTTCACCTAATTCGCGTATTACCTGCACCATTTGCGTAATAAATTGTATCAAGGTTCTGTATTATATTGCGGTCCATATAATTGAAGGGCGATCATCCTGGACGATGAGTCAATAAACACCGGTATTGATTTTTCGATGGCATAGCTCATCACATCGTCTGCTAAGCATCAGTCGACCGGCAATCAAATGACGTGCGTCATAACAAACCGTGACGCATACCAATAGTATTCTCACCTTTTTACCAGGTGTGTCGGTAATTCCTTTCCGGTTTTTTCGCTAAAGAAAACACGTTATTTACAATGGATAGTTAAAATTTATTTATTCAAAGTATTGGCCATATGATTCTATACATTTTGCCCATCTCTCAGGCAATTTATGGATGCCATTCCAAAAGAACTGTTTCTCCTTTGAGCTAAACCATTCATCGAGCCATTTTTTAACTTCTTCGAAATCGGCGAAGTACTGCTCTGCAAGCGCGTGCCCCATCGATGCGAAAAGGTGGTAGTCGGATGGTGCCAGGTCTGGAGAGTACGGCGGGTGCGATAAAACTTCCCATCCAAGTGATTTCAACACTTCTTTGACTGGTTTTGCTGTATGAGACGGCGCGTTGTCATGGTGCAAAATCACCTTATCATGTCTTTGAACGTATTGTGGACGTTTTTCGACCAATGCACAGTTCAAATTGATCATTTATTGTTGGTAGCGATCAGTATTAACTGTTTCTCCAGGTTTCAACAGTTCATAATATACGACACCAACCTGGTCCCACCAGACACAGAGCATGGTCTTGCGACCAAAGCGATTTGGCCTTGCAGTCGATGGGCCGCCTTCGCCAGGTGATAACCATGATTTTTTTCGCTTGGGATTTTCGAAATAAATCCATTTTTCATCACCCGTTACTATTCGATGCAGAAATGACTTCCTTTCATACCTTTGAAGCAGCATTTCACTGACGATTTTTCGATTTTCCAATTGCCTATCATTCAATTCATGTGGCACCCATCTTCCCATCTTTTGGATCTTTCCCATCGCTTGTAATCGTTCACAAATTGCTACTCGGCTCACATTCAACTTTTCTGCCAATTGTTTTTGAGTTTGTGTTGGGTCTTCATCCAATAACTCCTGCAATTCCGCATCTTCAAACGTTTTCAGCCTACTAGGACGTTTTTTGTCGTCTTGAACGTTGAAATCACCACATTTGAATTGTCGAAATCACGTTTCATATGTTCTTATGGTTGGAGCATGCTCACCGTAAGTCTCTACCAGCAAACGATGACTTTCAGCGGCTTTTTTCTTTTGATTAAACAAGAAAAATAATGCGTGCTGCAAATGCACGTTTTCAGGCACAAAACTCGACATTTTCAAAAAATTATTAATCTGTAACGCTGTTATTTTGGCGGAACATAACTTGTGTGGTTTTGAGGTTAATGTCAGTAGAATAAAATGACATATATATCAAATCATAAAATTGTATACTTATGACTAGTGACATCTGTTACAAAAACCGGAAAGTAATTACCGACATACCTGGTATGCCTCTCTCTTTCTACCCTCTCGCCCGTTCTCTTTCTCACCTATTCCCTCTCCCTCTCTCTCTCCCCCCTTCCTCCCTCCTCTCTCCCCCTCCCTCTCTCTCCCTCCCCCTCCCTCCTCTCCCCTTTTCTCCCCTTCCCGTTCTCCCTCTCGCTCTCTCGTTCTCTCACTCTCTCGCCCTCTCTCTCTCTCTCTCTCTCTCTCTCTCTCTCTCTCTCTCCCTCTCTCTCTCTCTCTCTCGCTCTTTCTCTCGCTCTCTCGCTCTCCCTCTCGCTCTCACTCTCGCTCTCGCTCTCTCTGTCACACATTTTCACCTCCTGTATTCTAGCAATATTCTTCTCTCTCTTACTCTCTATCGCTTGCTCACTCGCACTCGCTGCTCTTTGCTTCTTCAGCGCGCTCGTAACGCTTCAAATTCAGCACTCTCGTAGCGCCTGTGGTGCGATTCTGTAACTCGTTATTGGAGTTAACGACAGTTTCGTTATTGTTGCGCAGCTTTTCTACATTATACAAAAGCTACGCAACGATAACGAAAGTGTCGTTAACTCCAATAACGAGTTACAGAATTACTGGTGTCGGGAAAGCAATGTGCACGCATAACCCCATTTCTTTGTATCCGATGTTTTTTTCTTACTGAATCGAAATTTTCCGTGACTCAGACTTTATTTAAAATGTCTCTACTTAGAGACAACATACACAAAAAGCACAAAAACATTTTTCTTCCTATTTTTGAAGGCCGAATCGATTGGGACTAAAAAAACCTTGATCGGTTCAGCCGTTGCTGAGATATGAATATCTCACTTCGTTTCAACTCGCAGTTTCACGTAATATAGGCATGGTGTGCCTCTTGATTTATTGATTAAAGGGAATTCTCGAAAACGGGGTTATCCGAACCCGCGCCGGTGTTCCCCGGGATACAAACGATAACCAATAAATAAAAGCTCTTACTCGACAAAGTACTGAGTAAAACGGATATTATATTTGAATAACATTTTAATACGAATAACTTACCCTTTGTTTTGCGTTATGATGTCAACGAATTCAATTAATACGCGACCGTTTAACCTTTGTCCACTCTGACGATCTAATGAATTTGACACTATTCTTTTGAGCACCTTTCTTCTCTCTACATTTCGATGTTTTGTGTATTCCGCGAATATTTTACGTCTTTCCTGCGAAAGTGCGAATGTTCTTTCACTCTTTATATGTCAATTAATTTGTATTTAGCAAAAATAACTTTTCGTCATGACTAGATGTGTTTACTTTTCCGTCCGTCAATCAGCTTCTGCCGGATCGCATGCGCGTGTTTACACAGATATTTAAATTTTAATATTTTGACTGACGTTTTCCCGTAAAAAATATTTCCATATTTTTTTATTACTAATCGAACTTTTGTGTCACAACAGAGATACAACATCTCTCGTTTTTCAAACTACACTCGTCAAAATTCCTGAATATTTCAATCTTCAATTTATTCCATACGTGTACCAAATGGCAAACAAAACTGATATTAAAAAAATACAGAACTCTTCCATCGTACTTTAAAACACGATTTTTAATTATCTTCCAATTTGCTTTCTCTCTCTCTCTCTCTCTCTCTCTCTCTCTCTCTCTCTCTCTCTCTCTCTCTCTATTTATTTTTTGCTTGTCTTTACGAGCGGGAACACGAAATTAATTTCATCATTTAAAGGAATATGTTAAAACACGCTTCGTAATAAAAATTATTTTTTTTTACAACTATGTACATAGCTTATCGCGAAACGCAAACTTTGCCTCTGATAAGAAGAAGCAAACATGAGTTTTGTGTTTTTTTAATATCAGTTTCGTTTTTATAAAGATTTGTTTTCTTATCATGTAACGAAATATGTTATTTTGTTATTCCAAAAATCGCCAGGAAAGGACGCGTAGCAACACGCCAAATAATGGTCCGAAATATTTCATACATGATTTTTTCAAAAAATCGCAAGATCTATCCGTTCGACTAATATGAATCTGCGTGTCGCATTGTATAAATGACGGTTATAATGATACCGAATGTACATTCGCGATACAGTCGTCTCTCTCTCTCTCTCTCTCTCTCTCTCTCTCTCTCTCTCTCTCTCTCTCTCTCTCTCTCTCTCTCTCTCTCTCTCTCAACAAAAATCTTTCATTGCGATTTACCTGGGCGCTATATTGCAGACATGAGATTTATTTGTCTAAACGTAACAGAAGTCGAATTTTGTTAAACTTTTTGTAAGAGCCAGGTAAATCCTTTTTGCGTGGCAGAACAATCGAAACAAAAAGAAACGGAGATTAAAATTTAAAAAAAAGAAAAAAAGAACAAAAATAAAAAGGAACACAATTAAATGATATAATATAGAGGGTAGCTATAGAGGGTAACTTCTTAGCTAAAATCAAAATTATACAAGATATTTGGATTTATATGACCGACTACATTCGTGCAGAGGTAAAACTTGTTAACTTAAATAGAGAAATAGAGAAATCCTCTACTATTTTGTGAGCTACTAGTTTTATTTCTGGAATTTTTAATACTCTAGCATTACAAGATTGCACGACTTTCCAATGTTACATTACGACCACATGCCACTGCTAAGAGATTACCAATAAATTTAGATATTTTGAGTAAGACTTGACCTAAAGAGTTCGTCCTACCGTATCGCGCCTATCGCAGCATCTGTTTGCCAATTTTCTTTCATTCGTCGCAATAACCGCCGTGATAGTTTGCAAAATGATGGAGAATTTTTTATTCAATTTAAGGTATTCTACCTGCACGCTAGTATTTGGAAATCTAATTCGGACACGCTATATAAAATAATAGGAGAATAATAACCAAAATGCAGATATCTAATTTACAATAAATTCTACAAGGAGTCAATTAATTAATATTTAAGTAACTAGTTAGAACTTTTAAGTTTTAGCTCTTGTTGTCCTGTTGCTTTGTATAATTTTGGAAGAGCAATTTCGTAAAATATTTAACATGAGCACACGTTTAACAATCTGATCGCGACTGGGAAGACTTCGTGAAATTTCAGCCGTGTGACGTGTGGTCGATGGGGGTGACGCTATACTCACTGGTGACCGGAAGTCTTCCCTGGAACGGTTCCGGCAGTATCGGCAGCGTCTACGCGGCCGCTCGCTCAGAGAATCTCAAGTTCCCGGAGAAGCCGGCCGTGTCGGACGACCTACGCGACCTAATCACACGGATGCTCATGAAGGAACCGGCCGACAGGATCATCTTGCCAGAGATCAAGCAGCATGCGTGGTTGACCAATCGAGGAGCCGAACCACTGCCGAACGAGGCTGACAACTGTCGTGTTCCTGTTACTGTCACCGACGAGGAGGTCGAGCGGGTCGTTACAAGGGTGCCGAAACTCGACACTCTGATCCTCATCAAGACTATGCTGAAGCAGCACAGTTTTCAGGTAAGCCAAAGGCACGCATGCACAAGGATAAGTTACATTTATGTTACTCGAAAATTCATCTGGGAGAAAAAAATAAAAGAGATAAATAAAAAATATTATGCGATTCAATGAAAAACAGTGCAGTAAAATGAAGTCTTATCATTTCATGGAAAAAAAGTTTAAAAAAATATCGCAAAGCTCAGAAATGTAACAAGTTCTACGTCACATTAGGCGAGTTTTCATGCGACTCAGGTGCAACTAAAATGTATCGGGACGTTTTTGCTAGGTTGGTTTGTGGTAGAGACATACGAGGGTAGTCCCAGAAGTACCTGACTTAACAAAGAAAACAAAAAATTTGGGAAAAAATATCTTTATTTCTCTACATAGTCTCCTTTTAGCTCAATACACTTTTCCCAGCGATGTTCAATAGCTTCGATACCCTGTTTATAGTGGGAATCGTCGAGTTCCTCAAAATAGCCATCAAGCCACCTTGGTCCATTGTTTTAACTGTTCCTTCGTCTCAGGTGTGAAGTGAAGGATCCATGTTCCATCCATGGTTATGAATCGACGCAAAAACTTGGCTTCATTGCTGCGAAACTTCGCCAAACACTCGATTGAAACATCATCACAACGCTGTTTTTGCTCCAATCGCGGCACCCATCTTGTGCACAGCTTTGTCATGTCCAAATTTTCAGTCAATATGCGATGTACAGCACATTTTGAAATGCCTACCATTCTGCTAACTCGCGCATTTTCAGTCGACGGTCATCCAATACCATTTTGTGAATTTTCTTCCACCATTTCTGGCGTGGTCACCTCATTGGTCGACCACTGCGATGTTCGTCTTGGCAGTTCGTACGGCCTCGTTTAAACTCTGCCACCCAATATTTTACTGTTGTAAACGAAGGAGCAGACTCCCCCAGAGTAGAATCTAGCTCCGCTTTGATATTGGTTGGACTGAGGCCTTTCAAATGAAAGTATTGTATCACATAACGATGACCAATTTTTTCCATGTTTACAAATTCACTGAGAGCGTTCACTATTGATGGCTGCCAAACAAATACTAAACAACAATACTAAACAAAATAGCGTCATCAAACTTAAGCTTTATAAGGTTGGTACTTTATACCATAGTCATTCTTTTCAAACAACAACCACCATTTATACGTTAGGTCAGGTACTTCTGGGACTACCCTCGTAGCTATTGGCGAATTCGATTGATACGCACTCGTCACGTACACTGGAAAGCAAAGCAGTTTCGACAGTGTTTCTTCTAGTGACATTGGTAATGCGTATAGTTGTGAATTTGAGAATCACTGCTCAACCAAACTGGGCAAACTGAAAGATCGCGGGTCTTTCTAACCTTATCCGCAGAGATACTTGCGATCATGTGCGCAAGTGTTTGAGTAATGACTCTTAAATTTTACAACTAAACTAATTACTAACGTTAAAAAAAATTATCGGAGCCGTTTTGCTTTTCAGTGTATACATTCAATATTAATGGCTCTTTCTAAGAACTTTTTGTTATTAGACACTTGTGTTCGGAATGCATATTTTTATATTGCTCTAAATACGATTATTAAATTGAATGCGTAGTGCTGCTAATAAATACTTCTCAATACTTTTTATTGGTATGACATATAAAGAAAAATATTTTTCTTTTAAAAGAACATTAGAACGATAGATATAAATATATAAAATTAAGAGAAATATATAAAAGACGTCTTTTTTACTTATATTATTATACCAATTTATTTTAAATTGATATAATACCATATAAACCAGACATAGAAGAGAAAATAATTGAACATTGCTATCTATAAACATTTTTATATCTCCTATGCCCTTTTAATTACTTTTTAATTTTTTTTAAATTTTTGAATTTACATATGTCATATGCAATTTATTAAATATATTCCAGTTAAAACCGGAATATCGCTGAAACTAAAAAATTGAACACGAATAAAAATTTAAAAAATATTACAATAATATTACAATAATATTTACAAAAATATTTTAATAAGTGAGATATGTTATAACAAATATTTGTAATACAAATTAAAATATTGGGTGTACAAATTAGTTCAGTCCGTTTTCAAAAGATGACTCCGGCTGTTATGAATGGTTCATAGTGACTGCCGATTTTGGCGGTTTCAGAGAGGTTAGACATCTGCCAATAATATTTAGTTTATATCGTTTTGAGTTTCATAAAAACTTTGCTTTTTACAATGTTGAAAATGTCGAATTTTATGTTAACCAAGCAGTATTTGCGGAAGGTTTTAATTCTGCTTTAATTGGAAGAAAAGTGAAGCCCATCGAATGTTTATTGAAGTTTATGGTGACGCTGCTCCAACTGATAAATCATGTAGGGAATGGTTTCGACGTTTCAAGGATGGAGATTTCAGCGTCGAAGACAAGCCTCGCTCTGGACAGCCAAAAAAATTCGAGGACAAAGAATTAGAGGAGTTACTCGAAGAAGATCAGAGTCAAACGCAAGAGGAGCTTGCAGAATCATTGGGAGTTACTCAACAAGCCGTTTCCGTACGATTGAGAGACATGGGAATTATTAAAAAAACAAGGAAATTGAGTGCCTTATGAACTGAAACCGAGAGACGTTGAAAGGCGTTCTTCATGACAACGCTCGGCCTCATGTCGCAAAAGTCGTAAAAAAGTATTCGGAAACGATCAAATAGGATGTTTTACCGCACCCGCCGTATTCTCCGGACATTGCTCCTTCTGATTACTGGTTGTTCCGAAGGATGCAATACGACTTGGCAGGTCACCAGTTCATTTCTTTCGCAGATATCGAAAATTGACTCCAAACTTGGATCGCCTCAAAAGACGAGTAATTTTTTCGAGATGGAATTCGAAAATTGCCTGAGAAATGGAAGAAAGTAGTAGCCAGCGATGGAAAATATTTTAATTGATCTGTTCATTCATTTTGTTTTGAAATAAATATCTTTTAACACAAAAAAACGGACCGAACTAATTTGTACTCCCAATATATCTCTTCTTTAGAATATTTATGTAATTTTAAAACTTATATAAAACTTACTTTTTTAAACAAAAAGGTAAAAAAAGGCGCCAAATACAAGCGCAACACGTATTGTGTTATTTTTAGAAGTGTCAAACTCAAATTATTTTTTTAATGTATATATGTGTACATAAGTTTTTACAAGTAAAACTTATAACTACCAGGTCTGTAAATATCAAGTGTAGTAAAAAGAAACCCATTATTTTTCCAATAGATGGCTTTAGTTATCTGTACCTCGCGTTGTATAAGTCCGATCGGGTTCCACTAGATGGCGTTAGAAAGATGAGATTTCGTACTAAAAAAACTTTTCTGACAGTTTTGTGATTAGTTGACTCAGTTTTGTTTGAGCGCGCGTCAAAGATGGACACTAGCAAACAGAAAATATGCTATATTTTACAGTTTTTCTTCGATAAAGGCGAAAACGCAAGCCAGGCGGCTGAAAATGTGAATAGTGTTTATGGTCCTGATACTGTAACAGCCAATCACGCGCAATTATGGTTTCGTCGATTCCGTTCCGGTAATTTCGATGTCAAAGATGCACCACGCACTGGAAGGCCAATTGTCGAAAATATCGATAAAATCATGAACATTGTCGAGTCCAACCGTCATGTAAGCACTGTTTCGATTGCCCAAGAGTTAAAGATTGCACAAAAAACCGTTTGGAACCATTTGAATAAGGCTGGATACAAGAAAAAGCTCGATGTATGGGTGCCACACGAGTTAACGCAAAAAAACCTCATGGACCGAATTTCCATCTGTGAATCGCTACTGAATCGCAACAAAATCGACCCATTTCTGAAGCGGTTGGTCACTGGTGATGAAAAGTGGATCACTTACGACAACGTCAAGCGAAAACGGTCGTGGTTGAATCGCGGTGAGCCGGCGGAAACGGTGGCCAAGCCAGGATTGATGGCCAGGAAGATTTTGATGTGTGTTTGGTGAGATTGGCAGGGAATTATCTACTATGAGCTGCTCCCCTATGGCAAAACTCTTAACTCGGAACTGTACTGTCAACAATTGGACCGTCTGAAGGAAGCAATCGCCCAGAAGCGACCAGCTTTGGCCAATAGGAGAGGAATTGTGTTCCATCAGGACAACGCCAGGCCACACACATCGATAGTGACTCGCCAGAAGCTCCGGGAGTTTGGTTGGGAGGTTCTTATGCATCCACCTTATAGTCCGGACCTGGCACCAAGTGATTACCATCTGTTCCTGTCCATGGCGAACAATTTTGCTGGTGAAAAATTCGCTTCAAGAGAGGCTTGTGAAAATCGACTGTCTCAATTTTTTGCCAATAGGGACGAGGGCTTCTATGAGAGAGGGATAATGAAATTACCTTCAAAATGGCAACAAGTTATCGAACGGCGCATATTTGACCTAAATCGGATCATTCTAACTATGGTAATTAAAGCCTTCAATTTTATGCAAAAATAATGGATTTCTTTTTACTACACCTGATATGAAACCGGAATTTGCCCATAAATGGCCCTAGCTGTCAATGTAGTTACCATCAAACCGCGTCATTGGCGCCATTTCCATTTGTTGACATCTGACAAAGATTTTCAACTCACAACAATACAAGTTTCATGCAACAGCACAGTTTGTAATAGCGTTGAACATGTCTAATTTTGTGCCTGGAAGCTACAATTTGTGGACAACATTGATTTTCTGTTACCATTTGAAGAAAACTGCTGCAGAATCGCATCGAATGCTTGTCGAAGCTTACGGTGAGCATGCTCTTGGTAAATCACAGTGCTTTGAGTGGTTTAAAAAATTCAAACGTGGCGATTTTTACGTGAGAAACGAAGAACGTGGAAGACCACCGAAAAAGTTAGAAGACAGCGAATTGCAAGCATTGTTAGATGAAAATGACGCTCAAACGCAACAACAACTCGCGGATCAAATAATGTGACACGAGAAGCCGTCTCCATACGTTTGAAAGCCATGGGAAAGATCCGGAAGATGGGAAAATGGGTTCCACATGAAC